ACACATCTAGATGTGTATAAGAGACAGACTCAGGGCTGTCACCGAATCGGATGTTCCTTGAGGTGTCTTCCTCTCTCCTCCGTCTCCCCTCTCCCTCTCCATTCTCCCCTCTACCTCTCCATTCTCCCCTGTACCTCCCCGTTCTCCCCTCCACCTGTCCCTCCTATCTTCTTCTCCCCTCTTCCTCCTTTTTCGTATTGTATTAATCTGGTCTAGCATTCTTGTCTGCCGTAGCTCATCAAAGGGTCTCCACGTAGCTAGCGTTGGGAACTCGATACACTGCTTGATGATGATGATGGTGATCAATGTATTATTATTATTATTATTATTATTATTATGGTTATTGAGTTTATTATTGTTGTTTGTCTTTACTATGATGATTATTATTATTATTATTATTATTATTATTATTATTATTATTATTATTATTTTTATTATCATTAATATTATTTGCTTGCGGGGCAGTGTATGGAGCATGATGCGTGTATGGAGCGCATCTTTCAGGGCAGATACACGACTATAATACCCTATGCTTATATTCTTTGGAGGGGAGAGTAGGAGGAGAGTGGCTTGACAGTGAAAAGCAGGGGAACAAAAAAAAAAAAAAAAAAAATGAAAAAAAAAAAGTTTCGGAACTCGTGCTGGATGTGAAGAGGAAGGGGGAAAAAATGAACGACCGATTTTTTTTTCTAAAAAAAAAAAAAAAAAAGGATAAATGCTGGACCGAAAGAAAAAAAAAAAAAGTTGAAGGAGAAGCGATGGAGGAAACGATGGTGACTGTGAGAAGAAGAAGGAATTGAAAAAAAATAATAAAAAAATCAAGAACGTACTGAATTGAAAAAAAAGAAAAGATTTTTATTCGTCTTTGAAGGAGCACGTCTTTGAAGGAGCACGTCTTTGAAGGAGCAAGGCGCAAAAAAAAAAGAAAAAAAAGAGCAGGGATCTGACGAATTATGTGTAGTGGAAGAATAGAATAGAATAGAATCTAGAGTAGAATAGAATAGAATAGAATCTAGAGTAGAATAGAATCTAGAGTAGAAAAATAAGATAACGAACTCTGCCCTCTATTCTATTCTATTCTGAATTCAGTTGGCACCATCTATAATAGTGGTTGCTGCGGTGAAATAAGCTCGGGTCATTTGAACCACTAG